CACAATCGATACAACGTCATGGTCACTGCACTTTCAGTTCGTAGTACGTACTTCAACAGTCATCAAGGTAGAGACTCCGACAAAAAGAAGATACCCTGTCATCATCATCAACATCATCATCTTAAAAACATCTAGCTAGGTATGATCGTAGTCTACTTCGAAGTATCTTTCTTTCCCTCTACTACAATACTATCAAATTTGTGCCTGTTGCTGTTGCTTGTTACGGTTCGACTCATGTCATGTCAGTAATTGCTGCATGATGACATGAAAGATTTTCTTGAAAGACAACACAGCGAAGTGTCCTTTCTTTGCTACGATACATACTACTACCTAGTCGTACTTCCAGTAGACCACTGGTAATACGTACTGATCATATTATATATACGTCGTAAAATATACGTGCTTTGCAATCATACCTTATGACTTCTCCGAGTACTACCACAATGTATCTGTGTTACTTTTACCGCGAGGGACTCTACGCGAGGGCCGCCATTTTACAGTTATTTTTGCGATTATTTGCTATTTATGATTGCCTGCATGCTCGGTTGTGTTCCGCCGTTGGACAAGCGTTTGGGGTCGGCAGGCATCACACCTTTATGGACTTGCAGACATCAATGGAATTTCTACAGACAAAATGAATTACTACTACTTGTAGGATATCCCCGATTTACCATCATCTTGAATCTATTGGAGTTTCTGTTTAAAAAACCGCGTCTCTACTAGCTAGGTAGCTAGAGAGTGAAGATGGGCTTCCAAGTATTGACAGTGAGTGACTTACAGAAGCTGGCGGTCAGTTAATCCAGATGTAACAGGAGCCTTCGAACCAGTGGACTCTCCATCTTGGAAAACAGTAAATTTGGTGCGGTCTTCTGTTGGAAACATCGTCGTCCTTGAATGCACACAGGTCGAACATGATGTGTTCGACAGAAAAGAAATGGCTAAAGATGAAGAAACCTTGGTCGGATTGCAACTTCCCAACAGGGATATGCCGCCAATGGGTGGGAGATCAAGTGGTCCTACAATCGTCTGAAACAAGAATAATCTACATTCACAACTTTCATCATCATCATCATCACCATCACGGAATGAGAAAGAATTTGGCGGTCAAAACCTTTATCGTCTTTTGGGGGACAACCGTACTCGTTCATTCATGTCCATCACGTACTAGCACGAAAAAGTATCAAAAGACGGAGGTAGTTTACGGATATTTGGAAGGTCATCCGCCGCTTCATTATTTCATCCTTACCTGTGCATACTGTCATCACCAGAGCCGGACGCACTGGTAACCGACACAAAAACAAACAAGGTGTTAATACTCCATGGGATGGCACCTTCTCTACTGCCATTGTACCCGTCATTGATCAGAATGGCACACTGGACCGTTTTGTTAGGTCTACATTGCTGCATGCGAAAGGTTAGACCATTATCAAACCAAAGTCAAACCAGCCTTGCAGGCATTTGTCAGTCAAATCGAATCGGCTGCCTCCAATACTGCGGCCAACCAACAGGGAGGACATTTCTGCCGATTATCTCATCGTGTACGTTACCATCAACGGTACAAGTAACATCAAGGATTAAAATCAATGGCCCGATTGAAACAGTGCCACTCGACGAGGACTCTTCAAACGGGCTCGGAAGCGTTGGACTACTGCTGGTGCCACCGCCGGTGAAAGAGATGAGGCTGATGCCAAGGTTACGGCATCAATCGATGGTACCACCCGTGAAATGACACATACCACCGATATATCGACGACCCAGATGCGAAAAAGAATCCGAACAGAGTATGACCTCACGGCAGTTTTGGTCGTCATGCAACGGTACCTCTTTGCCCGAGAAGCTTGAAACTTTTGAACCGATGCCAGGCGTTGGTCAAGTCAATGTTTGCAGTCGTGCTTCGCGGAGCCAACGATTTAAACACTGAAGAGTAGCAAAACCAACGGATATTGTCAAGAACCAAAAAGAAATGAAAACGATTGAGATAATATGTGTTTTTTTTGTGTTTTTTGGATTGCCGTTGGACGATTTTGGAATTTCTTCGGAAGTCATCACTTCATGTTTCGAAAGGGCACTCTATCCCACCGTATTATCTACTATCTTTGATGGCCAATTGTCGTCATATTTTGGACGAGGCACGAAACCAAACTGGCAGAAAATCACCAAGATACTTTTGTGAGGGCGGTTGGAGGAACATGGATTTTTTTTTAAATCGGATTTCAACGCTCTCTGTGTCGACAAAGCACTCCATCCAACCGTATTATGTTCCATCTATGAAGGCCATTTGTTTTTCATTGTTCATGAAATCACTTGAACGAGAAACGAAGCCAAAGCGACTGAAAATCATTGAGATACTTTTGGGATGGCTGATGGCAGTTGGACGATCTTGCAAATTCATGCTGAATTCAAACCTCACAGTGTCGACCGAGCACTCCATCCACTGTACCAACTGCTGACTTTAACGGCCATTTGTTTTTTTTATTTTTATTGTTCATGAAAACATTAGGACGAGGAAATAAAACAAATTGGGAGAAAAGCATTAACTGTAAGATGCTTTTTGGATGGGCGATGGGAGTTGGACGATCTTGGAAATTCATGCGGAATTCATCTCTTCCAGTGTCTACCGAGCCCTCTTCCGAGGACATCATCCTTCGGTGGGCGTCCAACGGGTAATTTGGAGAAATGGCCCAGGATACAGCCAATTGACTTCAGCTCTTCCTTCTTGTTCCAGTACAGTAATGATTTGTACTCCCCCTCCCATCCACCGGCCGAGACGTTGTTGTTGTTGTTGTCATCATGATTGGTAGAACTTCACTTTCGAGAGCAAGTCTGGACATATTTCCACAAAAAATGAATTCTTGGAACTACCCTTTGGCATGTTGTGTGGGTTTTGGTGGTTGTTCTTCGCTTTTCCTAATTTTCTCGTTGTTGATATCTGCGGAGAGACTGTCAATGGTGAGCCCAAACAACGTCCTATTGTTTTGCGTTATTATTGTGTCGGTCGCATGGAAATAGACGCCGCAAGGGAAGCTTGAATGTTTTTTTATGTCGGTCCTCCATTCGTAGGAAGAAAAAAACCAAGTAGTTTGGACCATGGTTCATACATATTCCTAGTCAAGTTTCTTCTCTCCATGGATTGTGTCCAGATACGACCCTAATTAAAGTAACCCATTGAATGGCCATGCCCTACCCCAGATCGTCTCAAAATCACGCTGTTGTTGCTGTTGCTGCTGCTGTTGTTGTTGCCGAAATCTTTGCTTCTGTCTATACAGTAGGCCTTGGCGCTTCATTTTGTCCAAGCCCTTTGGGATCAGCTTGATTGTTCCACTTTTTCGACGAAGGAAATGGCCGTGTGTAGTGTGTCAAGAACCTTCAGTACTGACGTCTTTTAGACGATTCGAGAGTTTCCTACAAGGTCTCGATAAGATCATCGCGCACCTGGCTGCCAATATCTCCTTGCAAGAGAATCTGATATACAAATTTCCCTTTTACAGTCAATTCGATGGAGTAGTCTGTTTTCTAGTTTGATCTTTTGATGTCGTTCTTGATGCTTGCGGTCTTCCAGAATACAGTCAAGTTCTAATGTCGTGGTGAGGGGTTCCATGACAAATAGACAAGATGATTGTGGTGCTTCACAGTCATGTCCAAGCTCTTTACTCAAAGTATTTTTTGGCGCACCTTGTGACTCCGATGAAGTTGTTTTTATCGTTCCTCCATTCGTAGGGAGAAAACCAAGTAGTTTGGACCATGGTTCATACATATTCCTAGTCAAGTTTCTTCTCTCCATGGATTGCTTCCAGTGGACAAGGTTGTATCCAGATACGACCCTAATCAAAGTAGCCCATTGAATGGCCATGCCCTTACCCAGACCGTCTCAAAATCACGCTGTTGTTGTTGCTGCTGTTGCTGTTGTTGTTGCCGAAATCTTTGCGATAGTCTATACAGCAGGCGTTGGCGTTTCATGTTGTCCAAGCCCTTTGGGATCAGCTTGATTGTTCCACTTTTTCGACGAAGGAAATGGCCGTGTGTAGTGTGTCAAGAACCTTCAGTACTGACGTCCTTTAGACGATTCGAGAGTTTCCTACAAGGTCTCGATAAGATCATCGCGCACCTGGCTGCCAATTTCTCCTTGGAAGAGAATCTGATATACAAATTTCCCTTTCACAGTCAATTCGATGGAGTAGTCTGTTTCCTAGCTTGATCTATTGATGTCGTTCTTGATGCTTGCGGTCTTCCAGAATACAGTCAAGTTCTAATGTCGTGGTGAGGGGATAGACAAGATGATTGTGGTGCTGACTATTTTTTCTGGCATCTCCTGTGAGGATGAAAATTCAGCGTTTCAAGATCCAACGTCGATGATTGGAACAACCAAAAAGACGCAAACAGCTGTCGTACAACTAACAGTAAACTTGACAAGTTGCAGAATCATCGAGCGAAGATACGAGGTATCATTGACGAGGTATTGTTGGGATTGGACAGATTGCTTATTGCTTGGATCGTTCTGATACAACTGTCTACTAGGTAGTAGAAGTAGCGCTCCATTTCTTGTTGTTCAATGATGATAGTTGCTCCCAAAACAATGTCATCGTTGTTGTTCAATGTGATGAGCGGTCACAACTGTCGACTATCCAAAGGGATCCAAACATCATGGTGTCGACTGTTCACATTTCACAGTCACAGTCATGTCCAAGCTCTTTACTCGAAGTTTTTTTTGGCGCACCTTGTGACTCCGATGAAGTTTTTTTTTATATACTACAGTATGTGTAATAGAGTATACAAATAGGAAATAATAAGGGGGTGTAGCTATCGTAGTATCTACGGTACCTACGTACCGGTAGTTACTTGTCGTCTGAGATTATTTTTCTCGCCTTCAGGACCCTTGTTTTCGCGCGACCTAGTTCTTGATGCGCGCGTAGAATATCAGTACCGTATTCATTCAAGGTATGTTCGGGATCATGATGCGTTTTTTGAGAAACGGGGAGTCAACAAATCCCCCCCAGAAAATATGGGCGCTTTCGAAAGCGCCCATAAAAAATATGGGCGCTTTCGAAAGCGCCCATAAAAAATATAGGCGCTTTCGAAAGCGCCCATCAAAAATATGGGCGCTTTCGAAAGCGCCTATAAAAAATATGGGCGCTTTCGAAAGCGCCCATTAAATTCCTTGGTTGCGTCGTAGACGAGCAGCAATACGAAAGTTCCACCAAATCGACAAGTAGCAAAGAGCAGCAGTACGGTTGTTCTATCCTCCTCTTGTCGAAGTCACTTTTCACCATGAGAAAGTGTAAACTAAGGCCCGGTGTTGGCTGTAAAGCCACTATCCTCACCAAGTTCATCCACAGATTTTTTTTCATCAGACTCCGGACGATGGTATCGCTCGCACTTGCTGCCGGTCTTGCTTGATTCAATCAAAAGGTAAGGCCAAACACGCAGTGCCCCTAGTAATCAACTATGATGAAGTGAGGCTATGTCCAATCATTCGAACAAAGAAGGCATCGATTGCGATAATCATGAGGGTAGAGTTGTGGCAACTGCCAGAAAACTATTCTTGTGATGACTAGTAGGTGGTAATAAAACTTTTCGCTATTTCATTTGTATAAATTTAAGTTTCTAGTCTCGATATCAGACATCACAGCAACGAAATGCGCCCTTTGCAACAATTCGATTACATCGTCATTACTTTTTTCCCTTTGCTTTCAAGACATTGCCATATCCGTAGCCGCACCACCCCCTTCTGATGGTTCGTTACCAGCGAATCCAAACTGAAAGCCGAGTCGGTTTTTCCGCATCTGCTGCACCGGTCCTTTCTTGGCCATACGAATATCGGAGCGACCGATCTTCCAATAGACGAAATGTCCCACACTGCGTCCACTAGCGTTTGGATGGGTTTCACTTACCGTCAAGGACAATCCAGGGAACTCGTTCTCATCGTTGACGAGAGACCGATTGACGACATCTTCCCATTCGATTACGACATTTTCGGGGAAGACAAGCAGGAGATTCTTGGTTTTGGGAACTGGATTGGAAACATCGGGGGTTTTGTTTTGATGGATCGTCCAAAGCTCATCGTCCAAAGCATCGGTAAGACAATCATCCTGTGCCGACGCGATTTCTTCTCGATTGTTGGCGAAGACGTAATCGGTGGAAGGGTAAGTGAGCAAGCATGTGTTGTCGCTGTGCTTGCGCAAAATGTAGGCATCGTTTGCCAGGGGGTTGCCGACAGTATCCAGGATATACTGCACCTGGACCCTGATCACAATCGCAAAACCATAATACCATGCATTTTTCGATTTCAAAGAAACCCCTTCGACGTTCTGAATTGGATAGATCTTGGTCACCTCGCGATTCATGGACGGGTTCAGGGTGTTGACGAAAATGACCTCGGTGTTGGGAGGGAGTTCGGATGGATACCCAGTCGATGGAGGTGTCACGAATTGGAATAAGTCTTCGTCCGACATCGAAACATTCTTTCGTCCGAGAGACATGGTATCTAGTTGATTTGTAATTTGATCGACTGTGGGGAGCAATACAAATACAACAAGGCTGGCATAAACTACGAGCTTGGCATTGCTGTCTCAACGTCTGATCTTGTTTGGATGAATGGGCCGTATAAAGCTGGTTGCAGTGACAAAAAAATATTCAACCAGAATGGGCTAAAACAAAAGCTTTTAGAGATTGGGAAGAAGGCAATCGGTGATCAAGGATACAATGGGGATCATGGTGTCATCAGCACTTACAATGCTCACGACTCTTTCGGTGTAAAGAAGTTCAAATCGAGGGCACTCAAACGTCACGAAACATTCAACGGCATGACGAAGCGGTTCGGATGCTTGGACGGACGATTTCGTCATGGGTCGCAGAAGTTTGCCACGTGCTTTGAAGCTGTTTGCGTCTTATGCCAATATCAAATTGAACAGGAATTGCCACTCTTTGATGTGCTTATTGAAGCCATCATGGACGAATAAGAAACTTGCATTACAAGCTTAAACTAATAGGATATTCAGATTATGTCACCTCTAGCTTGCTCTATGTTGTTTTCCTCGCTCCTTCAACGTATGGAGATATTTTGCCGTTCGGATTTCTTGCTTTATCTTGTCACGAAAAGCGTCCAGAGGAAATTCATTCATGTATTCAGGTCGAGATTTCCACAGCTTCATGGGCTTCATGCTCGGATCTTTGACGTAATCTTCCAAGTCATCCCAAAGATGCTCCTGTGCAGAGGAACCCTGCCATTGGATAAAGCCCTTGTGAGAGAAAAGTGATGGTTTGTGATTCTTTTTGTAATTGTTGAAAGCAATGAGATCATCGTCTGCTCGTCGATCCAATTCAAGAATCTTGTTTCGAAGCCTATTCAAACGATTCTTCAATTTACTATAATCGTACAATGCGAGCTCTGGATCAATAGAGTAAACATCTTCCAATGACATCTGCTGGAAATTCTTGTCATCAACTGGAACGATTCCCTCCAAAAGAGCGTTGTAGAGGATTCGTTTAGCTTTGCTTTTGCGCCACTTCATCTTCGGCTCTTTGAATTTTTTTGACTGTGCTTCAACACGGATCTCTCCAACTGATACCGAATCAAAAAAATCTTCATTTCTGCCCTCTTCAATGATTTTGAAATGAGTCTTCACAGCATAGAAAATGTCTCTGTTGTTGCCATCAACAAAACGAAATGTGTAGCATTCTTGACTTTTCCGGCCTACAGTTTTCTTTTCATTTGACAGCAGCACAACGGTGGACCGATGTGAGGCATCAATGTTATTTTGCTTCGGGTGGATGAACTTGGTGAGGATAGTGGCTTTACAGCCAACACCGGGCCTTAGTTTACCCTTTCTCATGGTGAAAAGTGACTTCGACAAGAGGAGGATAGAACAACCGTACTGCTGCTCTTTGCTACTTGTCGATTTGGTGGAACTTTCGTATTGCTGCTCGTCTACGACGCAACCAAGGAATTTATGGGCGCTTTCGAAAGCGCCCATATTTTCTGGGGGGGATTTGTTGACTCCCCGTTTCTCAAAAAACGCATCATGATCCCGAACATACCTTGAATGAATACGGTACTGATATTCTACGCGCGCATCAAGAACTAGGTCGCGCGAAAACAAGGGTCCAGGGAAACTGTGGAATGGTATGATACTACCATATGATTTGAACAGGAAATAATAAGGGGGTGTAGCTATCGTGGTAGTTACACCAACTACTCCAGTACGTAGTTACTTGTCGTCGGAGATTGCCTCCACTGTCATTGAAACTGTCGTACGACAGTAAAAGGAATAGCCTGATCATACGTACTGGTAGTAGGACGCGTACATAGTATGACGTACGAAGTAGCTTCGAAACTCAATCACATCCTTCGCATTCTTTTTATTATTACAGTTATCTCACTGTCAATCTTTCAATCGCTATAACTGTCAATCAAATCCGTGAATCCGTGAAGCAGGAGCACAAATCTCTTTCCACCATGAGCGATGGCTAAGACTCCCGTAATGTGACAACAGCAGACGATGATTTCATCACATGATGACACAATGGGTTGATTTATGCGTCTTAAACAAATCCGAGACAATCCAAAGATCGTTGCTTCAAGATGTAAGAAGAACCAGATCGTTTTTCTTCAAGGTGGTGTTGCTTCGAGGTGTAACCACCTCTGAACAGTTTTCCCACCCTCAAGACTCGAGAGTGCCTCCTTTGGATTCCCTCTGATTCCCTTGGATTTATCACGATGGAACACTTTCTGTCACATCATCAACAGCAGGAGTAAACTACCGGCCAACAACAACAACAACTTTTTTACTTTCATTCTTACGATGTGGAAGGCACAAGGCACCCAACGAAACATTGATCTCGAGGACTGTCATACACTGAGTTGTCAAGAAGTGGATGATTGTGAGATTCTGAGAATGACTGTCGTAACATCGTCCCCCGTGTCCAACCCCCAACGCTTGAAAGATTTTTCCTGTAACAACACAACCAGCTCTTTTCGGAGTGTCCGTTGAATGAATCATGCCACGAATCATGCACGGAGAGATTGACTTCGAAGTACGAAAGCCTAATATCGGGGACAATCGTTACTACTGGGGAAGGACACCGAAGTATGGAATGAGAATGCCAAAGGATATTCCAAATTTTTCAAAGGATGGTACAAAAAGGCATCAGATATCGATTTGATCCAAAGGGTTGGGAAAAATACAATCAACGCGAGTACAATTCTCATCAATAACGAAAGCATCAGATATTGCTTCGATGCACAGGAGTGGAAGAAATATACCTAACGCGTGTAAAGGGTTGTGAAAATATCTCTACGGGGTGGGAAATCTCATTTTGACGATGTTTTCTATACAATTCTCGTCAAAAAAGAAACATATCCTACTGTCTCTATCTATTTGACACAGAATTGTATCAAACTTGCCCCAAGGACGTTGCAGAAAGACATCCTATAACGCTTCGATGCACAGGAGTGGGAGAAATATACCTAACGCGCGTAAAGGGTTGTGAAAATATCTCTACGGGGTGGGAAATCACTTTTTGACGATGTTTTCTACACAATTCTCGTCAATGAAGAAACATATCCTACTGTCTCTATCTATTCGACACAGAACGATTCCTCAAGGAAGTGTTTTCGGTTATAGAACCACTTGAGCTGTCACCCATTTGCGAGAGATTCCAGTTAAAATGGCCATCCATATATGCTGCACTGGCCAATGTTTTCCATTCCGGATCGTTCGATTCATTGATCTGTCCCGCTACTGTTGTGCCTTGACCAACGCAAACCCGTCGACCACCCCATCATCTGCGTCACATGACAGTTTGGCACTCTCATTGGGGCACCCACGGAAACTGATACAACGAGAATTAGCTAACGAATGAAGCCATCAAAGCAAATGCTCAGCGAGGAATGGTGTCTTGGGATGGCGGATTGGCAAGTCGAGACGCAAAAATGTTGCAATATTCGATCAAGTCCGTGTTGCTTGCGATCCAACGTATTCTGTCCCTTGGGTGTTTTTTCCTTCTCTCCCAAACAATGGACCAATAATATGGTTTCATTTCCAATCCCTTGCATAATTGATCATCCCGTGACAAAAGAAGCTGGAATTATAATATGTTTTTCCTTCCTTGTTGCTCAACCGAC